AATTTTTTTTGTGTTTTTTCTGAATTGGATAATTTAAATATCTAATTTTCTTTACACATAAAAACTAAATTAAGGGTATGTAATGACTGAAAAAACCCCCCCTTTGACTCTTGGAGGTTGGACTGCGAAATCTCGACTATAAGGACCAAACGTACAACGTCACCCCACCAATAAAGTCATGTATCTTGAGACCAGTAATTTAGGATCAAATCACACATCAATGACCAATGATTTATTCGTCCGAATGTAAAGAATACAGGTTTTTTTTTTTTTTTGAACAGATTTTACAAGGGGTTGGGTTTGAACCCCAACCCTGGGAAGGGGAGTGCACCGTGAGTAATTATTGCCACTTAGCTCGAAAGGTTCGGTGTAAAGAATACAATTTTTGAATTTAAATTTTGTGGATAAAAAAAATAACTATGTTAATGATATTTGATGTGATTAGATTTTAAATTAGTTATGATATAGTGTAATTATTAAATACTGAGAGATAATAAAAAAACAATGACACATGAATGAGCCAAATTTTGAGATCAAAAGATACAAGGTGGAGCGAACATATACAAATTCTGATTAAGAGGCGGATAATATGATGGTCAATGATAATTTAATATATTGTCAAACATATAAAGAGTTTGATGAGAAAATCTTTCATATAATATTTGTTAATAGTATAATCACTAACAATTTATTGTCATCAAACACTTCATAACTCAGCATTTTCCTATTGTGGTTTTTTTATGGTCACTGTAACTCAATAGAATTATCAATGAATTATATCCTTAATCAGTATTTGAGTCTTACCGAGACCAAATATTAACTTAATTTTTAATCATTTTCTCTTAAAAAATAATAAAATAATAAAAAAAGGAAACACTTCATAACTCACATACAAAAATCTAATTGAACTTTACAACGTTAGTTCCAGGCCCGTGACAGAACTTTTTGAAGCCAAAACATTGAACTTTGCCATAAAAGAGCAAAGAAACAATATGATTCTCTATTAGTCAAAAATGGCGGCTGCAGATATTTCGAACCTTACTAAAAACGGATATTAATTTAACTTTTAATCATTTTCTCTATAAGAAAAAAAAAAAACTTCATAACTCAGGTACAAAAATCAAATTGAACTTTACAACGTTAGTTCCAGGCCCGTGACAGAACTTTTTGACGCCAAAACATTGAACTTTGCCATAAAAGAGCAAAGAAATAATATGATTCTCTATTAGTCAAAAATGGTGGCTCCAGATATTACCTCCCTAGTTCATATTGATTTCAAACTAATTAATTTTCTCGAAATTGACCTCATTCGATTAATAGTTAATTAAATTAGGTTAAAACCCCTTTTTGGTCCCTGAACTATTGTACGGACCCCCGATTTGGTCCCTGAACTAAAAAAATCCCTAATTTGATCCCTACTATTTACCATTTTTATCCCGATTTGGTCCTTCCGTTAAAAATTATGTGACGTGGCATGTTACTTAACAGTTACCAGATGACATGTCATATAATAATATAAAAAGTGATGATGTGGAAAAAAAAGTGATGATGTGGAAAAAATAATATAAAAAAATATTATGAAAAATAAAACTTAAAATTTTTTTTTCTTTTTTCTTTTTTCTTTTTTTCTTTTTCTTTCTCCTTTCCCTTTCCCTTTCTCTTTCTCTTTCTCCTTCTCCTTTCTCTTCCTCCTTCCCCTCGGAACCCAGCAGGGCTGGGTCCTGGGTTCGTCGAACCCAGCCCTGGGTCCTGGGTTCGACAAACCCAGGTCGAACCCAGCGAACCCAGGCGCAAAAAATTTTTTTTTTTTTTTTTTTTTTTGTGGGTTTGGTTGTTTGATTACGATGAAGAATTGTTGGGTTCGATATTGAATTGATTGTTTGATTGAATTGATTGTGTGATTGAATTGATTGTGTGAATGAAGGATATTGAATTGATTATTTGATTGAATTGATTGTGTGAATGAAGGAAGTTTCGAGAAAGAA